TAGGCTCGTGGCTCGGGGGCCGGTGAAGGGCGAGGGGGGGGAAGCGGGTGTGGTCCGTCCCGCCTTAGGGGGGGTCGTCGTCTTCCTTGGGTATCTGGGGCACGGCAATTGTTGACTGACTGCGCACGGCGGTGCATCTGGGAACTACGGCAGACCGGAGGGCGGCGGCCCGGGGAGTTGAGGCCGGGGAGGGTCCGGAACGAGCCAAAAGCAATTGGCCCGTCCATCGATCGATTCGTAACCTCTTCATGGGGCGGATTATTGAGGGGTATGTTGGGGGAAGAGGTCAATTTGAGGTCGTTGGAGTTGTGGCAGTTGCCCCAATGAACGAAGCCGTGGGACCCGGCCTTGGGCAGTAAGGAGGTCGCAATAGGTAGATAAGCTGGTAGTAATTCGTCGGTCGCGTGTGGTGTGGCTCTGTGGTTTCCCTTCTTCCTCCCAAATCGCCCAAAGACGAAAAAAAGTTCTCCAGAATCCGGCAGCTCCCAAGCCATTGGACAAGGGTTGCCGTGGGTTAGCTGACATAATGTGACTTGGCGTGTTGTCGTTAGTTACCGGTACACTGTAAATTACGGCTCTCTCCATCCCACTCTTTGCAACCCAAACGATTGATTGGCTTCTGAGACCTCGCAGCAACCGACAAGCAACACCAGCTTCAACGTCAATTCCCAAGTCAAACCCACGTCTCCCGGACTAGTACACTCACAATGGTATTCTATGCCTAACCCTTCCCCCTCCCCCACATGCAATTACCTAATCTTGAACGGCATTGACTGACATTGTTGTTCTTGACATAGGGCGGCGGCGGCAAGGTTCCGTAAGTCTCCGGCTTCGAAATCCTCGAATGGAACAATGAACGCATTGTATTTCGAACCCAAGACCTGACCGGTTCCCTCTTCTTAGCTACCCCAAGCACATCTGGTCGCCGGCCGGTGGCTGGTACGCCCAGCCGGCCAACTGGAAGGCCAACACAGCTGTGTTTGGCGTCGTCATCTTCGGCATCACGGCGCTTGTGTGGAAGTTGAGCGCCGACAGGGAATACCGCCATAAGATGCCCGAGCCTGATCGCTTCTACCCCAGCAGAAAGTACGCGCCGGAATAATCTTGCATCACGAACAAAGCTGACTAGGCATGCCCCTGATAGCTGGAGCAAGCAGATCATCGAGCACGAAAAGGCACGGAAGGCGGCATCGGAAAAGCCAGAGGGGTCATGATCACAGTTTTTGGTCGACGGGGTTCTGGCTTGTCACTGTGCGCGATAGATCAGTCAATCTTTCTGAACATTTGACGACAGTTTTGTTGTGCACAATTCACAGCCGCCTGTCTCGTCTGCGCTCTCCCCCCCGCTTGATCAGTTACGCGAGACGATGGAATCCAGTTTCCAAAACGCTTTCAAGTCCCAGCGGGGAATTAGGCATTTGTTAATGTATGACGTTGTATCTACCTGGGAATAGGGGCCGGCAATGCTTCGCTCCGTCCCCCCCTGTATGCGCCCCGTTTGATGAGGTACGGGGAGATCTTTGGTGGTCCTTACCCTAGAGAAAAAGGTTGTTCACGACCCAAACAGAGGTATCGCCACTTCCAACTCCTCACACCTCCACCCCGCGGCAGACCACTTCCATTCTAGACGTGGACAGGAAGGCGGTTCACAGGCAGGGGAAGGCGCATACGAACCAAGTCCGCTCAGCATCCTACAGACAAATCCATCAGCCCACCACCCGTTTCCACGCATCCAATTATCTCCATATCCCTAAGCGTACGACACTCCCACAGCACTAAACACATGGCTGCCCCATGTGACGGGCGACGACGTTTGACCCTTGACCCCATTGATGAATTCATGCTCATATCGAGTATGGGGCACCCCGGCCTTGTCCCTGTTGATCCTATATCAGATACGAATTCCGACCACTCCGGCTCCGACCCCGGCCCTGCCGAGTTGGAGTTAAGCCGTCTACTCTCCTTCCATCACGAGACCCCTGTCGACGCCGAAGCACAAGGCGACGAGCCTTTTACCAAGATCGGCGCAGGTGCCTGTGGCGCCGTCTTTGCCCGGCCGGGAAAGCCCTACGCGATCAAGCTGTCCAAGATCAAGAACCACCAGGTGCTGTGGAATGACTACCTCAGTCATACCAAGATCGCCCAGTGCTTCCGCCGTTGGGCGTATGACGAGGTCAGCGTCCCAGCCTGCCACTACTTCGCGCCCCCCAGTGAGTCGCAGTTCTTCGCCCAACACGTTGGTCTTGCCGAAGCAGCTCAGTGGGTATGCAATTTGCCCACGAGCGCACTGGTTACGGAGCGCATCTTACCACTCCCGGAGCGTGTCCGGACTCTACTGATTGACAAATACTGCCCGCCGCACATCAGGGGGGTGGCCAAAACCGATGCCGCCAATCGGGACTGCCTGGTGAGGGTCTATCTTGGGTCGACCAAGGGCAAGAAACACCGGAAATTCTTCTCGCTGAGGGACTTCAAGATGCACCTCAACTACATGGTGGAACTCCAGCTTGACATCAGGGGTCTGGCTCGCAAGATAGGCATAGCCCTAGCCTTCATCCACTGGGGCGCTGAAACGGACGGCCGGGGTGTGGAGTTTGTTCTGGGCGGCTCATTCAAGACAGCCTCTCGCGGGCTTGACGCCAGCAAACTCGAGTATGATCTTCCCCGCCACCGTGCTCGGTGTTGTCTCCCCTTCCCCGACGGTTCTGGAAGCCCGTGCTCAGAGCAAACAAACTAACACTACCTGGCAGAGATGTGAAACCACTGTCGTACACCGGCCCATCGTCGAGGACGACGGAAGACATCTTCAGTCAGGCTACGGAGACGAAGCTCTGGGTGCTAGACTTCGACCAAGTAGAGCCGATCACGATGGACACAAACGGCGTTGAGCGGGCGGTCGACGCGGCCACGCGGAATGACCCGTACCTCCCCAAGCCGTTGCAGACCACGGTTCATGAACAGGAAGCTTGGAAGGCTTTTGTCATGGTATGCCTCCTCTTCTTCCGCGCCACCGGGTTGTTGGCGGGTTATGAAACCGTGGCGCACCTCCTGGCCTACACTGAATAAACCCCAGGACTATGACAGGTTGACTGACATAGTGGAGCAGGGTTACCTAGACGTGGCCAATGTGATCTTTGGGGGTGACCGCAAAGCCAACTGGGACTTGCCGCGTCGTTTCATCTGGGGACTGATTACAGCGCAATGGGAGGCGCAGCTGGCGCGGTCGATTCGTGCGCGGCGAGCCTGAGGGTGGTATCTGCAAGATAGGATAGGATACTCACTTTAGCGTTAGTATTTATTTCACTGGTATCATAGCGAATAATATTGATGTTCTTTCTATCATGATGATGGCAAATGATGGTGACAGGAAGAAGAATACTGGCGAAAGGGGAAACCGGAAGAGGGAAAGAAAAGAAACAAAAGGAAGAGGGTTTTAAGTTTCGGAATACTTGCTTGTTATCCATCCAGGGCAACCGAATATCAAATCAAATAGGTAAGCCCGGAAATGCTCAGAGGTTCCTAGCTACTAAGTCTCCTCTTTAGTCTTCCCGGACCATGACCAAAAGTAAAAATAAAAATAAATAACAATTCCACCGTCCCTCGGACGTAACAAAGCGTACTTACAAGCAGGTTGGCAAGCAGATACGCAGGTCGGCAAGCAGGCTGGCTTAAAAACGCAATCCACTGCGCGGGTATAAATGCGCCTACCTACCGAATACCTCCCAATATCATACAACAAATGTCCCAGTCGTACGTCGCCCGTTCCACGCTCCCCGCCACAGATCTCGTAACTGCAATCTCCTTCTCCTTAGCTTCTTTCTCTCTAGTCGTCATCGTCACACAGGCGCATAAAACAACAACCAACACCAACCACAGCCTGGCCAACTCAACCAACAAATGCCCCTCTCACAAGAAGTAATCTGCCACCGGTTTCTTCGCCGGCATCCCCCTCGAATCCTGTGGTGCGGCCTGAAAGACACGGTACCTCCTCGCCGGCCCCGGCAGCCGCGGCAAGTCGTTGGTATCCATCACCACCCCACCGCCCTGTTGCTGCTGTTGCTGCTGCTGCTGCCCACCACCCCCACCACCACCACCACCACGACCCGCTCCCCGCATGAATCCTCCCCCAACACTTCCACCTCCACCCCCTCCCCCTCCCACACTACCACCAAGCCCACCATCACTCCTGCCCACATCCCCATTACTCCTCGCCAGCACGCCCAAACCACTCTCATCCTCCGACAACTCCAACAGCGCAGCCACATTCCCACATCGATAGCAATAATTCGGCGCCGACCACACCGTCACGATGCTGGCATCAAACATCTCCTTGAACCCCTCCATGACCAGCTGGTGGGCGCGGGCGATCAGGCTCAGATCGTTGCGGTAGTTGAACATCTTGACGATGTCGGCGCCGAACAGGAAGCCCGCGCCCCGGGGGGACAAGCCCCACCCGTCGATCTCGTCCGGGTCTGACCAGAGTAGGTCGCACATGGCGCCCTCGTGGGGGACCTCTTGTTTGCGGTCGAGGAGGCGGATTTTGTCGACGCGGTCAATGAGCGGGGAGAGACCGCCGTGGACGCAGAGGACGGCGCCGGCGGGGTTGCCCAGGCTGCCGCCGCTGGTGGATGTGGCGGAGGAGCCGGGGGGACCGGTTAGGGCGCGTGTTGGGGAGGGGGTTTTGGTGAGGGTTGTGTCGCGGTCGGAGGTAGAGGAGATGCCGTTGGTTAGGGAGTGGCCGTTGGGGCCGTTGGATATTGTGGTGGTTGTGGTGGAGTTGATGCGCCCTCTGCTGACGTCTTTTTGGCGCAGGAAGCGGGAGATGATCTGGCCGTCCGAGTTGTGCACCTCAATCTCGACTTGGTCGCCTGCGGGTGAGCTCTGGGGCTCGCCCGGTAAGGTGTTGGAGGCACCGAGCACGATGGCACCTAGGGCGAGGTAGTCGAATACGTCGCAGCAGTAGCGCCAGACGTTGGCACTGCCGTATTTGCGGAGGCACTCGTCGTAGAAGCCGGTAGACGGTCGTGATCTGGCGGGACTCGTGGTTGCCGCGGATGAGGGTCATGCGATCGGGGTAACGGACTTTGAGGCAAAGGAGGAGGAGGAAGGTCTCGAGGGAGTAGAAGCCGCGGTCGACGAAGTCGCCTAGGGAACGGATAAGCATGGCGCCATGGATTGACAGCAGTAATGGATGGGCACAACGTGTCGCATACCCATGAAAAGATAGTTCGTGTCCGGAACGTCACCGCCTACGCGGAATAGCTCCATCAGGTCGTGGAACTGGCCGTGGATGTCGCCGCATATCTATCCGGAACCCACACGTCAGACCCAAGCCCCAACCGCAGCCCGTCCAGCTCGCTACGCTAGATGATAACCACATACTGTTACCGGCGCGTTGACCGTGACGACATTTCCTTCCTCAATGAGCAGCTCCCGGGCCTTGTGGCAGAGCTCGCGAACTTCGGCCTCGGGTATCGGTCGGCATGCTCGTAACTGGGCGATCGCCCTGGCGAGAAAAAAAAATGTCAGCACCCCATGGTCTAATCAAACAGCATCGACAAGGATAGGCGAGCTCACCTGTCGAGGTCGCTCATGATGGCGGTTGTTCTCGTTCTCGCTCTCGTTCTCGGCGCGGCGGGAGAGCGTGGGGGGGGGGGGGGGTTTGGTAATGGGATACCTGGATGGGGATGGGAAGGATGGGCACAAGCAAAGCAAATTGGTAGATCGATTGTCGCGAGACTGCTTTTTGGAATTCCCTAAAATCCTAAGTAAAAAAGGAAAGAAGGAATGGGCAATAACTTAATTTATCATCATCATAACCAGGGGCGCAATCAGATATTCTGACTCTATAAAGATCAAAATGTTGAAATATGAATTAGTCTTCTGTTCGATTTCCCCATCCGAGAGAGAGAGAGCATGGAAATAATGTGGGCCGTGCGGAGGATGGGTTGCTGGGTTGTTTTGACCCTAACCCTGAATTGGCGAGAGCAGAAGGGGGGGCAGAGGAACACAGAGTCATCATCATCACATTCGACACAATGTGCTGCTGAGTTCATGGCAGAAAGCATTAATACTACTATATTTATGTCACGCTTTGAAATCCACAGCTTATGGTATACCCGCCCACTCGCCCCTTTCACATGGCCCGATAAACTGGGCAACCGAACAAGTCAACTCCAAACATGCGCTATTTTGCCAAAACAAATAATGACGCCGTCGCTCCGATTCCCCGCGGGCGCTTTGTCTCCAGTGCCGGCGTGACTGTTCGAGTTATCCTGGTATCCTGGTATCAAGAGCAATAACCTGAAAACGCCGAGCGCCGTCCCTCCCCATGTTTGTCCTTGTTCGTTCCCCGCCGTTTTCTTGTCGGGCGGGGCAACGAGCACAGCAGGACACAAGACCATCTGGTCTCGAAGCCGAAGTTTGGTGTATTTAATGGCCGAATCTGCCATTAAGACAGAGTGGTGTCAGCGAGCCGAACCCGAAGTAGCCGGTCTCCTCAACCAGCCGCAGGGAACGGGGCCTTCCTTTTGATCCGCGGAGCCAGGTGAAGCATCGACGAGTCAACCGAATCGGGCCGGCTTTCTCCAAACGTAGCCACCACAGCTTCACATACGGGGCTGGCGACCGGGCTGTCTCCTGACGTGGGCGTTTCTGCCGGTGTCAATGGGAAATTGCGGCCCAGAAGAGCGTCGGCCGAGCTCACGGAGCGCTTGTGCGCCTCCCCATTTCTGGGGTAGGACGGGAACGCTGCCTGCCTCGCGGCCCGTTGCATGTCGCCGACGGCATCAGCAATGAGCGCCGGGTGCCACAGCGGCAGGATCCGGTAGCCCAGGTTCTCCATGATGCACCTCTCCGTCAAGTTTATCTGCTCGCACGTCCACATGTTCCCTCCCCACGCTGTCCGGTAGTAGTACGTGGGCTCCTGGCAGTCGACCAAAAATTTGAACGCGATGACCAGCGCTGCGAGAACAATCAACTCGGGGTTGACTGAATCGATGTGCAGTTGTGTTGCACCCGTGGGGCTGGCCTGGATGGTGTGCCGCTTCGTGATCTCGTTGGCAGGCTCCCGCTGCGCCAGGGGACAAAGCAACCGCCAGTTCAGCGAGAACTTGGAGCTGAGCGAATCTAGGATGCACACGGCTAGGGCAATGGTATCCATGGGAAGATCCGCGCGGACAAGCATATCGTGAACCAACGAGACGGATGGTACCGACAGGGATGCAGCGGGAGGGATGAGGTTGACCAGGTGTATTGCTGGGCCTATCACACGGAACGTAAGCATGGGAACTGACAAGCTGTAGAGGCGTGGTTGGTCCACGTACCTAGCAAAGCAGAATCAAGAAGCCCTCCATCTTCCAGGAGGGCTCTGGGGCTCTGGCCGGCCAATGACTCGCGGGACGAAGGAGGCGGCGTGGGGAGGTTGGAGAGGGGTTGATAAGTGCGAGAAAAGTATTCCTCGTCAAAGTCGAACTCGTCGTCCGAGTAGTCTGGAGAGTGGGTGGCCATGGTTGCGGGCTTCATGGTTTTGGTGTGTGTCTTTCGTCGTTCAGGTCGTCAGGGTCCAAGGGCGTCGTCGGTTGCCGGTGCGTCCAACAAGCAACAATTCAGTCAAGTAGGCCGGCGAGCTGCTCATATCGATGAGAGCAGCCGACAGATCTTCAGGGAAGGCCCGACGACGATACACACAACGAAGCCCGCAGCCTCCGGCGAAACGTTGGTGAGACCCAAACACACGATACCTGCACAAGAGTAGAGCAGAGGGTGGTCCAGCCGGAGACGAACACGAGGTCCCGAGTAACACGCAGCCGCCTTCGAAAGCGGGACGAAAGTGCGGTGTGGAAGCGAGTATGATCGAGAGTGAGGGCGGAGGCGGACGCGATCGGCCGTTTTATCGAAAAGAAAGATCCAAGGTCACTTAAGCTTGTGCACCTTCATAAATATAACGGCATGGGAGAGAACGAGAGAGGATAGCCAAGTGGGGGTGAGAGAGGCTATGTCTCGGCGACGGGCTCGTCACTTGTTTTGAGGTGGACCGCCGGGACGCCAAGCGACCAGGGCAAGCGGCCAGGGGGTTCAGATCAGATGGATTTGCGGTGTCGATACGGTGGCGCTCGCTGTGTTGTTCGAGTCTGCCCCTGCCCGACCGATGCTAGCTCCCGATAGCTCCGCTTTAACAAGACGTCCAGTGGAAAAGACGGCAAGAGGGGACGGTGAATGGTTGTATGCACCTGGATGGAAAGAGAAGAAAGACGGCGGGAGGCAGGGAGATGGTGCGAGTCCACCATCTTATATGGCAGGCACGCGATCAACGCGCGAGCGACAGCTCGCAGAGCAGCACCAAAGAGCAGCATGAGTGCGGCTGCGGGGATCATCCCCTGTCCACCACGCTCATCCTGGTGCGCTCTGTTGGCGCAGCCATCACCAGGCGGCTCCCTCTGGCAAAAAAAAAAGCCGAACTCGAAATGAGAGAAAGAAACCAAGAAAAGAGAGAAAAAAAAAGAAAGAGAATGAGATGGAGGGAACCGCGCAAAATAAACCAGAAAGTACCTAGACTTTGTTCAGTCTTCCGAATGGCTTTCTTTTCGCTCCTCTCGTCAAAGGCGGCGCCTATACCCTACACTTGGAGCGCCAGGCAGAGCCACCCAAAAAACCAACACAACCGGCCTTCACCCAGCTGCGAGCCCATCTGAGCGGTTTGGGATTTGGGCTGCGGTTAGCGGTCTTGGCCCCAACTTGTCAATCCTGCTCTGGGGACCAGGGCCAGCGAAGGCCACATCGCGGGCCAGACCAGATCTGCTGCAGAGATCGGCTAGCGAAAATTAGACAAGAAGTGGACGGCCAGGAAGATGTACACGACATTACCGAACTACCGGCTGCCGTAAAAGGCGTGTATGGTCGTTGGCTAAACACACGTGCTGACGACGACGCAATCTGGATGAAAGCGCAGGGCCGGAGCCGTGCGCTCGCGTCAATGAGCTCGTTGGAAAGAGTGGTGGCGGGGTCAACAGCTGGATGGCAATGCGGCACCAGGGTCCAGGATTTAAGGAAACAGAAAGTGTGGGGGGCACATTCTCAATCGGATGATTTCCAGTTGGACCTTTCTCCGATGCAAGCAAGAGTGGCAGGCAGGCACGGCGGGCCAGCAATGGAACCCAGGCATGTCACAGTACTGTGAAGGTAACTTCCAGACGGGAATAACAACAAACAATCCAAAAACCCACTCTGCTCCCGCCATGTGTATCATCAGGCTATCAGCTAATTCACTCACCCTACCTGTCCGTTCTCGGGTGTTGCCCTCAGTCGATTCAACTCGAGGCTCAAGTGACTGAATTGACCTTACCGTTACCTAAAATAGGCGGTCAAATTGATGTCCCTCAGAGGGAAACAGTTGCGGCGGCAGTCCAGAACTTGGACTTTGACCACGCCACAGATCCACAATTTACCAGCTAGGGCATGGTTACCTGCAACCCCCTTTTTCCCAGAGCAGACACCAGCATGGCGCCATTTACGAATACCATTTCCGAACGCACATGCCAAGCGCCTGCACACCGATAGCCTGTCTCCAGCATGTCTTCGATCTGGGAACCGAAACCTAGAGATCTGCAACAACACGAGCCCACTCGCCCGCTGGTTGTTCCGCGGATTAGGCTCGGAACTTTGTTCGTATTCTCTCCACAAACAAGGCCGACCATGCCGTGGCCAGGTCGGACCCTGCAAGATGCGGGTACGAGAGTTTGTACACCCATGAATTGGACCACAGCTCAGGTACCGGACTGTGGACACAACAGGCCACGCCTCAATCCCGGAGTTAAGAAGGAATAAATTTATATTTTTATATACTTTAATTAGCCACTGCTGCCGAAGGGGTCCATATGCGCACCACACACCAGCCCGAAAGGAAAGCCGCTGGCCCGGGCCGATACTAACTATTGCTCGCCACAAAGCGCAAGCGAGGGCGATCCCGAAGCACCAATCTATCCACCAGATGACGTTGAGACAACCCGGAATTGCAAGCGGTGCGGACGCAGACCGCTCACTCCTGATCTGTGGTTCGCGGCGGGATGCCCAGCCAACGTGCCAGCGTGCCGGCGTGCCAGCTAACCAGTGAGTTACTCCGCCGAAGCGCCGCACGCCCGCAGCGGCCGATTGCAAGGTGACCTCTCGGCAGGGCTGAAGCGAGCTCTCGCCATGCTGCCGTGCCGCAACTTTGTTCCGCTGCTCCATGGGCCACCAGAGCCACCATCATCCCACGAAGCCACCCCGACTCCAAGGAATTTGGTCAGACTATTATCCGACTTGCTGACGAGTGCAGTCCGAGATCATTACAGCCTTCTGGGTTATCAAGCAAAGGGATTTCACAGCATTGAATCAAACGCGAGACAAGACTTAACCCTAACCCTGTATAAACACACCTCGCCCCCAATATCAAATATCAACTCCCATCTATTTTCCTGTTTCTCCTGAGCAATACGTACAAGCAAGTTCACAAGGAAAGTCTGGAACCCGTGTGCTTTCCGCACGGTAAGGCTGTGGGGGATCTTTGTGGAGAAACCGTGGTATTACAACCACCTCCCACTTCGGTATGCTCTATCAAGTCACAAGTGACTGGAAGAGGCAAAGTCTTGACTCTTAAAACTCACAATTAGGTGACCAAACAATCTACATTAACGCAACAATTCTAGGGTATCAAGTCAACCCAGCCCCAAGAACAACATTCACCACAACCGTCACAACAACAACCACCACACCCGCCAGCCCGGCCCGCCCATCCCCCCTCACGGGCACCAACGCTGCCGCCGCAGCAGTCGACGAAGAAGACGCCGCCTCACTACCTCCACCCTCCGAATCCCTTGTCGGCGTCGGGGTCGCCACCACCACCCCCGGCCCCAGGGTATTCCCATACGAGTAGGTAAAATACTCTCTGCACTCGGCGGGCTCAAAGCAGGTATGCGTGGCATGGAACACGGTCCACGACAGCGTGTGCGCATGCGCGTACAGCGTGCCCCACGCGCCATCCCAAGTCGCCTCGGACACGCCGTCGTAGGTGCTGCCCGGGCGGCCTTCGATGCCGTTGCTGTATAGGCCCAGGGTCAGCATCTCGCCGTCGCCGCCGCGCATGTTGCCGCCGTAGGCCGCGCAGTACGGCGGCAGCGTGCGGCTACTGACCGTGTGCGTCGTGCCGTCGTACACCGTCGAGTACGTCCACTGCGGCGACCTGTGCTCGAAGGTGAGGCCGCGGAACGGCGCCGGGCAGCACGTCAGCTGCGTCCCCTTGGCCTTGTCGTACGCCGGGCCGCCGTTGGCGACCGTCCAGGGGAAGTACACCGTCGTGTTGACCGTCGTGTACCCGGCCGGGCAGTCGGTGTAGTAGGTCGGTGTGCCCGTCACTACCGTGGATAACCCCACCGGGTAGCAATCCGCCCGCGTCGGGTCGGGGTCGCCTGCCACGGTGTGCGTGCACTGCAGCCAGGGGGGCGTGCGGGGGTCGGTGGTGAGCGAGCAGCGGTCCGAGACGAGCCAGAGGTTGGAGCTGGCGAGGCAGGACGCCGCGGGGGTGAACTGCGTGACGGCCGACGAGGGCGGCGGGAAGTAGGTGCCGTACGGGGCGTGCGTCGGGTGCGGCTTGATCGGGTTGCTGTTCATCACGCAGTGGCTGTCGCCGAAGCACGTCGACGTCGTGCCGGGCTTGCCCGTGTAGAGGTACTTCTGGATCAGGGCGGCTGTCACGACGAGGAAGTCGTTGTCGTAGTCCCAATCCACCTCGGTGGTGGTGGGCGTGGGGGAGGCTTGGACGTTCAGGGTCACCTTGCTGCCGGAGAGCTGCTTGACGGACGCCGCCTTGCAGTACGAGGCCATGGTTGGGTAGGTCATGGGGTACGTCGTGCCGTCAATGGCGGTGAGGATCGTAGTCGGCTCGAGGTTGGCCGTGGTGAATTCATAGGCGCTACATCCATCCCGGTGAGTCATCGTTACCGGGAGCTAGGAAGTCCGTCTTGTTTACTCACGTGGGGCAACAAGCTGTGCGTTCGACGGTGATGGCTTGATAAGTGGTTGTGCCGGTCTTCACGCCCGTCATGCCCTCCGGACAGGCACTATACGCGGTGCTTCTAGCGATGGTGTTGCCAGTGGTGATCCAATTTGATTGGTAGCACAAATCATCCCAGTTCCCGTTCCCTGGTCGACCCAGCATAGTTAGACGACATTCGGGAATCGTTACGACCTCAGTCGGTCTGGATGAGAAGGGGGGGTAGTAGGTATTGCACCCATACCACTCTCCCACCCACAAGTTTGACGGCGCAAAGCATGTCGGGTCGGGTCGGTACGTGGTTGTGACGCTGGCGTACTCAGGCATGGCTTCCGAGTTTTGAATAGAAAATCGCGTCCTCGCTTCGCGAAGAGAGAGCCATGTTTTCCTCGAGGAATAACGAGTTAATAAATAGCTATATGCAGTCCTTCAGCGTAGCCGTCGTTTCGCCTTGCCAAGAGGTTAGGCCCCCTTTCTCCTGCCACAACTGGTGATGCCAAGCAGACCAGTGACATCCGCCCCCAAATCCTCCGGCAATGCGGCATCGCGATTCCGGAATGGTGTTGAGTACAAAATACTACACTCTTGGTCGACAAGTGCATGGCCAACATTTAGGGGTCTTTCTGAGAATGATTATGGGTGGCAAGAACCTGCTGGCTTTACCGTTTGACACTTGGTGTTTTGAAAAAATGCCTCTTCGCCGCCTCCACCCTCGCTCTTTCATCTTCGAATACTAGATGCTTGTAGGTATGGGCCTCCGGAACAGTCAGGCGACCGTCAAATATCAGCTCATTACTACGATGCGACCAGTGGCGCTGCCCTCTCTACCACCAGGTGGAAATGGGTGAAACCCCTTAGCGGTACATGATTTAATGCGGACCTCCATACCGCTAATACCCGGTTAAATCTATCAACAGTTGTCAGTCAAATAGAGATTGACTCTTGGAGCTCAACTATCACCCTTTTGCCGTTATGGCCTGGCCCCCCAAAACCAACTAAAGCCTAGGTGATAACCAGAATCCTTGTTATTCTATAACTAGCTTGTTTTCTCTGTCCAGAGGGCTGGAATCCACGTTCATAACCTATACTCACTCATTCTCTCAACGCATACAATCATATCTGCAAGTAAGTACGGGATCCCAACAACCCCCTACTCTCCAAACTTGTGTGAGCCGAACGAGTATTTACTATTTGCTGGTGGTGACTAGGAATTCCTCGACTTGTGTTTTTATGGTTCTTTACTCTTCCATTGGCGTTGAATCGGCAGAGTAAAAAGAGAGTTTGCTGCCGGACGGACCGGGCGAGGTCGAGATAGAGCCGGTGAACAGCTCTAGTGCTATATGTGCTACCGCAGGTCGTTGGTAAGAAGAGGCTCAAGGCATAATCCCCAAGCATGGTATATATAGTGTTAAATACTTTGTTCCATCAATAAGGTCAAGATGACTAGGGTACATGGTCTAGTGGTATGATTTTCGCTTCGCACATGTGCGACCTTGTGAAAGGTCCCCGGTTCGATCCCGGGTGTATCCAACTCTTTTGTCTGATCTTGTTCTGACGCTTCTTTTTCTTTCTCCTCTTATTTTTTTTCTCTAGGGAAAAAAACAACAACAAAAATGCATAGGGGCTAAAGTTAACCCAACCATGCCCTAAATCAAAATAAAAAGTTTGATATCAAATCGAAATCTAATGCAGCCTACCGAGAAAGCATCTCGTACTGTCAGTAAAATGTCTATCCATAGTGCCAGGGGACTTAAACCGAAGGGAAGTTCATCGAGTGTGGGCACAATCAAAACTCGAAACCAAATGCAACCTCTCATACACATTCTCGCTGTCCATCCGTGGCACAGCCTGCCCACATAACCATAAACCACTCGGCCTCGCCCGGCCTCGAGCATGGCCATGCTCCTGGGGTAATCACATGGAGCCGAGTCCGTCCAAAATACCTACTACACATGCCTACCTAGGCTTCTTATCTCTCACAAATGTCATCCCAACTTCCCCCAGCCACCCGGCCAACTTGCCAACCACCACTCACCAACACACCCCCAACAGGGAACGAACCAAAAGAAAGATAAAGATAAGCATAACCCGTGTTTCAACTCCCAGCCGATCCGGCACTCCTCGGTTCACAACCTTGTCAATCAAGCATAACTACCCTATTTACGCAGCCCGCTGGCTGCAGGGGAGAAAGGTGCTCACGCTCCACCTAGCTGGGCTGGCTGTCAACCGATCATACCATGGAATACGACCTTCTCTTCTCTTGCCGTACCGTGCCGATCCGACACCGGGAGTCTGCGGGGCCTTCGGGGCAGACACAAGCCAGGCTGCCCCTGTAATGTTGGACTTCATGCTGACATTCGTCGAACTGACGCACACATCTCATGCGCCATATTCTGGTCGTTTAGTATTATGATTGTCAACATCTTCGTATCATTGGAAAAGTAGGAGGGAAATACACATCAATTTCACACGTAGCAAGCAGAACAAACACGCAAAGCAAACAGAGTGAGAACCAAAGATATCCAAGGAGAACCAATCCGGTTGATTATCCACATCTTGCCCTCCCTCAGTCCGCTCCCAACCTCTCCAGTCGTCCACCCAATCTACCAGCCCACCGTCTCCTCCAACCCCCTAACAAAAGCCAAAGATCATCCAGATTCGTCTAACTACAGCGCTCCGTGCTTCGTAATAAAAAAACAATAAGAAATAGGGAATGAGAACTAGTAACAAAAATGGAAACCGGGGGTGAACCAAAAAAGCTAGTGCAGAAAACAGAGATGAATATGCCCCATCAAGTCCGTGAGATCTCAAGGATAGATAAACAAAGAGTCCCCCGCGCGTAAGCAAAATTCTCGGCATCTTTAGCCTCCCCGCTGTCTGGCTCCGTTGACTTGGACCTGCTCTTTTGCTCAGAAGCAGGCAAAAATGAAGCCAAACAATGGTCACACTAAATCTTCGGTCCATCCCCATTTCCAACATTATCTTGTTATCCCCGCCATCGCAGCTCGAGAGTGCGGGAGCTGAAAACGGTGACGGCGAGTGGTCGTATCCGTGCGGGTCAAGAAAGTAAACCGGGGCTCTTTACTCCTTGAAGGTAAGGACTTGAACGAGAAAACCCAGAATTAGCCATCCGAAATCTCGAAGTACGTGAGGTTATCGTTTGCAGGAAGCCGCCGGCGGGCAAGGGCGCTTTGTGGGTTTCTCTGGGCAAATCGTGGCTCGGATTATGAGACGCCCATTCTACTCGAAGTCGATGGAGCTGCCTCCCTCCTGAGCCTCCTGCTGCTCGGCGGTGACGACATTCAAACCCTCGCTGTTGCCGCCGTCGTTGTTAGGGGCAGGGGCAGCAGCGGGGGTGTTCGAGTTGCCGACACCGACCCCCGGAGCAAGGAGGTTAGGATCAAAGGAAACCGCGGCTGGGGTCTCGTGTGAACACCCAAGGTTTTGCCGAGGGAAGAAGAGTATATCGGCGCTAATGAGGAAGAAGGAAGTGTAAAAGAAATCTACTCACGTTGGGAAGCTACCGTTTGAACCTGGCCGACGACGTTGGGAGAGATGAACTGCTGCAGGTCGAGAACGCCGACGTTGTTGAGCAGTCCGAGGTTGAGCTGCTGGAGCTGAAGAGAGGCGAGGTCGAATCCGCCGAGGACGCCAAGCTGGTGGATCTGCAGGAAAGTGTGCAGTGACTGCAGCTGGAGGAGGGCTTGAAGGTCAAAGGTCTGCTGCTGGAAAAGGCCCTGGAACTGCAGAATGTTGAGGTTGTTGACGTTGGCCAGGTTGCCAAGGAGGCCAAGCTGCAGGGAGTTGATGTTAAGCAGGTAGTTCAGGTTGACCTGGTTGAAGCTCTTGAGGCCATTGAAGGCGTTGATGTCGAACTGGAAGGAGCGCGCCTCAAGATCCGTGGCGGGAGCCGCGGGAGCCGCCGGGGCAGCGATGGCCAGGGTGGCGAGAGCAGAGATGATGAAAGTAACAGGCTTCATTTTGTCGGTTGTGGGGGGGAGGATGAGTTCTCGAAAACAAGAATTAAAGGATTATAGCTAAGAGCACAGCTGCTATCATGTTAGTCATCTGTTTGCTCCGACGAGTGCGTGGTCTCATACCTCAATGATGTTCAGAAATGTGAAGGAGTGAAGCGAACAGCGAGCACAGCTAGCGGATTTGATGTTAGCCTCCCGTAGCGTTGTCGTTGATCCAACACTGAAGCTCACCTCTGAATGAACGACTGAAGAAGATATTGACCGGAGTCGGGAAGGCTAGTTAGTGTGGTGAGTGTGGATGAGGAAACAAACGAGGAGGAGTCACTGGCGGGCAACTCGGTTTATATCAGCTCGAGCAGCACCCAGACCAAGCGCCACCGAGAGAGCACGACATGGTATGGCATGAGCGGGAGTGGCACGCCAAGATTTCAGGAGCAGAACATATATTCGGAAGGGAGGTCGACCAGCCATCCGGGCGTGTCAGGTGTTTGGCGGCGTTCGACGGAGCCTGCCGGGTAAAACACCATGGATGGGGCCAACATGATGTGCCGGGATGGGCAGACGATGCAGGAGAAGCGAGAATGTCCAGACCAACCAGACTCACCCGGGAAAGGAAAGATACAGGGGAGGGGTAAGAAATTCGCCGAGAGACCGCATGCCGCATGTGTGTTGCCCGAGGGGGCGGCCGTCGAGAAGCATTCGAGACTGACTGCGACACCATGGGGCGGAATACCGCACGGCCGAGCCTAGCAGAGGAGGCGTTGCCAAGAGAAACACGATAGGCATGTGTTCGTGGGTGATCCTGAGCAAACTGGACCTATGTGGCGCGTTCACGATGCCGGGCCCGTCATGCTGTATCTGGATGGGCCTGCGGGGAGTGTGGGGTGGTCGAAGCCGGGGGTTGAGGACGGGATGCTCCTCGTCCGAAGGCAGTCTGCGGGAAATGCCAAGTTGCCATCCAATGTCTGGTGGCAAGGGACGGGAACTGAGCAAGGACAGTACGCTCGGCCCCAGCAAAAAAAAGGCTGAACAATTTCTTTCCCTGATCGACGCCGAGAATAGGACGCCGTTTCAAAGTGTTTCGCCAAAGAAGGCACTTTAGGATGGCGGCGAATATGAGATGCGAGCTCAAGGGAAGACCTGGAAACACGGGCAGACAAACAGCATCACTACGGAAGCTGGGGCGAGCAGAGTTTTGACTTTCATGAAGAGAAGAAAACACACGTAATTTCCATCCATGGGAGGAGCGTCAAGGCAGAGCATCTACATGGTCTGCACTTTCCTCGAACGGAACTACCGGTGCCAAATACCACCTTCCTTGCCTACAGTAAGGTAGTATTGTAGCAACCCTGAACCGTTGAACGGCAGGAAGTGACAACCTAGGGTCACCACTTCCACGCTAGGCTTTTTGGCTTAAGGTTAGTCGGCATCCGATTGCCGAGCCCAATCATCGAATCATGGGCGGCGAACCCGTTGCCATCCTGTTTCAAACCTTGAAGTTTTCGAAGGAGTTGTCCAGGGGAGCCCGGGTAAAATGTTCGGGCTCTGGCTGGGAACGCAGGAGGTCACAAGAGGCTCAAAAGGCTAACCCCACGCACCAACTGAACCCGCAGACTGCCAAGCCAAAGCCAAGATTTATTCGAGTCTGGTTGCGTTTTCTCATTGGCTGCTTCTGACTCCTGCACCGCTGAAGCCGTTGAAGCCGTGCAACTGCGACGCAGATCCGTGCGCCCAGGCGAATGTGAAGCACTTCCTTTTGATGCCATTGCCTTGGCCACCGGAACCTCGCTGCTTCCGATTCCTAAGGGGCCACCGCCGTCCGGATATCAGGCATCGTCATTCAACCAAGCTCTAAAAACTTCAGATCATCGACGGTTACACTTGGCATAGAGTAAGCCATTGGTCATATGCACACACATGCAGGTACGGAACCACCGGCTTCTCCATCTGAACTCGAAGGGTGGTATTTTCTGGGGGAGGAATTTCGACCTCGGATGATTGATCGTATTTGCAGCCAAGATTAGAAACCAGGAGCATGGTTTACGAGTCCATCTCAAATTCCGATCTTCAATCCCTTGAGACAAATAATTAGAACTAAGGTACGCTGGTTTGTAGCTTGGAAATTCACTGTAAAAGAAGGTAAGGAAGGGGGAGAAATAAAAGAATCAACGAAAAAATAAACATATTTTTGAGAAAAGAGAAACAGAAGCGGCGTCTTGTTTGGCATATCAGAAAGATCTGACACCACTGTGAAAGGCCCTATCTTCCTCTGAATTCGGGTAGTTACAACTCAATCTTTTCTGCTCGGCAACACTGAATCTCCTCCTCTCTTCCTCGGGCGAACTCATTCCCAACATTAACCCCTAAC